CAAGGAGTCGCAGAGAGTGAGGGCTGCTAGCACATTGTCACCTCTCAAAATGATAACTGCATAGTTTCTTTTAAAGAGACAGACCTTATTTTAAGGATTTTTACATTGAAGAATTCAAAAAGCAATGAATTTTTGGGAATTTGTTGATTTGCATTTAAAAGGAACTGCTGACAAAGATTCACTGGTAACAATCTGAACAAGTTGGAAAATACAGTCAACACTATTGAAACACTACTAAAATAATTCCAGGACATAGTTTTATTCCACAGAACAAAACTTCTCAGATGCTGTCCTTGATGTGAAAATTGACTGCTTCTTACTTTTCTTTTTTTTTTCCAGCTGCATCCATGTCCCTACAAAGGACATGAACTCATCCTTTTTTATGGCTGCATAGTATTCCATGGTGTATATGTGCCATATTTTCTTAATCCGGTCATAACAGTGTCTTATATGTAAAATGCTGTTCTTGCCTTTCATTTCAGAATATACTTTTTTAATGTGAATTTCTGGATTTTCATTTTATAGCATGTTTGTGTCATTAGTGAAACTGGAAAAGCAAAATACAAAACAAGCCTAAGATGAGAGTTCAAGTTGAGTTTGGAAATATCTGGAGTCCTATTGACATCCCCAGTAAAATTATCAATGTTCTAGTTCTGTGGCCATCTGCTTAGGAGAGCTTTTTGTATGTATCTTCTAAGAATTGTATCTGTTTTGTAGTTCAATTTTGCCACTCAAAACATTCTGGTTTGTTGCTTTTTACACTTGTTATATACATTTTAAAAAGTAGAATCATAATATATGGTCCTTTGTCACTCACTATATTTTAAGCATGTTTCTGTGGCAGAAATATATCCTGGCATCATCATTTTTAATAGCTGGGTGTATATTAAGTGAATCATTGGCACCCCAGAGCTGAATTTCCTTCTATGTACATTTTAATGGACTCAAGTAAGTATTTTTGCACTGAATTCATACAGTAGAATTTCTAGAGGAAAATAATGTAAAACAGTTTTAAGATTTTTAAAAGAAATGTTCAAATTATCCTGTAGGAAAATTGGTTCAGTTTATACTCCCATCAACAGGGACAGAGCTCCAGGTTCCCCCTTCCATTTGTCATCTTTGCTGGTCTTTAGGCAGAAAATCTCATTGTTTTCATTACATTTCTTTGATTTCTAGTGTTTTTGAATCTTTTTCATATGCTTATAGGCCATTTTTATTCTTGTGGGAAGTGCCAGTTTCTCCTTTGCTGATTTTCTGCTGGAAATCATTCATTTTTTTCTCTGAGTAATTTAAAATTTTTCTTTATCGGCTAAGGATACAAACCTTTAATCTGTCATTGAGGTTACAAAGACTTTCTCCCAGTACGTAATTTGTCATTTCGCTTTATTTTTTGCTAGCCAAGCACCAATGTCACATTTCACTTAATTTTTATCCTGCTGCATGAAAAAATTTTAACTTAGTGATTTTACTGGAAACGGGAGCAGGACAGAATGTAATATCTAGATCTCGCTCTGTCATCCCAACTGGAGTGCAGTGGCTTGATCATAGCTACTGCAGCCTCAAACTCCTGGGCTCAAGTGATTTTCCCATCTCAGCCTCCCAAGTAGCTCTAGGACTACAGGTGTGTGCCGCTATGCCCAGCTAATTTTTAAATTTTTTGTAGAGATGTGAATTTGCTATGCTGTGTAGGCTGGTCTTGAACTCCTGACTTACCCCACCTTGGCTTGCCAATATGCTGGGAGTACAGGCGTGAACTAGTGTTCCCGGCTAACAGCTTACTGTTTTTGCTAGAGGTGTTCTTGGTATCTTTTTATATCTGAGGCTTTCATGCTAGTGCTGTGAAGTATTACACTCACCATCTGAGGTTTACAGGACTTTTGTTTTAATATGGAACAGAGGGAACTGTTTAGTTTTGCATCTTTGCAGGTGTACAAAATGTGCCTACCAGGACTCTGCTTTGTATCCATTGGAAAGCAAGAAGTAATATAGTAAAACTTTGCCTGGCTAGAGGCTTTGGGAGAATGGAGTATTCTGGTTTAATTCCATTAACTTGGAAGGATGAAGGTGAAACAAATTCCAAACTTTAATTTCCTGTTGAATGCAATTTGAAAATATAGCCAATGATTCCACCTTTCTTCTCAAGTTTGGACATTCAGATCTAGTTGGTCTTTCATCATAGAACTCCTAGTGTGCCTGAGTCTTACATTGTGAAGATCCTTTTCTAAAACTTTAGATGTAAGAGGATGTAAATGATACTGGATTAGATCAGGCTGGATGAGAACTGATATCTGTAAATATACGTTTTAGAAGAAATGTCTGATTGCCACTCGCTTTCTTATTGAACTCATAAAAATAAAACACATTGGCTGGAGGGTGGAAGTAGGAAGGAGATTCATGTCTTTTAATTGCATGTCATTGCTTCATATCGAGACAGAACATATAGTATCCCTGGCTTTGGACCTACAGAAGGAAACACATTTTTCTAGCTGCTGTATGCCAGCGGTTCCTGAACACCTGGAGGGCTTATTGCAGCGTGGATGGCTGGTCCCTACTCCAGAGTTTCTGATTCATCAGGTCTAGGGTGGGCCTGAGAATTTACATTTATAAGAAGTTCCCAGGTGCTGCTGGTCCAGAGACTATAGTTTTGAGAGCCACTCTTACATACTAACTATAAATTGTAGACTCTAGAAAAAAGCTTAGTTTGGTCTGGCATAAGAAGCACGCAGGTAATGGAGCAAATCATGAAAAACTCAACCCTTGATCCCAGGTAGCAAGCACTACACAGTGACAGAACACAACTCTTGGTTTTCATGATTGCAAGTCATAGCCAATCACTGAGAGAGAAATTCAATTTCATTTTCAGGGCTTAGAGAGGCCAGGTGATTCTAGAAAAATAGGATTTAGTGATTAATCTCATGAGAGTAGGAGTTATTTATGTCCTTTTTCTCTCCCACATCACTTAGCATTTAGCCTTACTTTGGGAGGGTCCTGTATTTGTTTTAAACTTGTAAAGACCTTTGAGTGTTTATTAAATGGAAAGCTTTGTGTGTGTGTGTGTGTGTGTGTATGTATGTATTTAGAGACAGAGACTCATTCTGTAGCCCAGGCTGAAGTGCAGTGGCATGATTTTGGCTCACTGCAACCTCCGCCTCCCAGGTTCAAGGATTCTCCTGCCTCAGCATCCCAAGTAACTGGGATTACAGGCACCTGCCACCATGCCCAGCTAGTTTTGGATTTTTAGTAGAGAAAGGGTTTCATCATGTTGGCCAGGCTGGTCTTGAACTCCTGAATTCAGGTGATCCACCTGCCCCAGCCTCCTAAAGTGCTGGGATTACAGGCATGAGGCACCGCGCCTGGCTCAAAAGCTTTGTGTTTTTAAAGATATTATATATGTTTCTTTTTTTAAAAAAAACTTTAACAATAAAGTACGAAAGAGAAAGTTTTTCCAAAAAAGAGAAATCATTGTGATTATATTATCTTATTGGAACGTTGGATAATACAGTCTGCTTTATCAATCATCAAGCACACTATAAAATTCCATTTTCATAGGATTTGTACCTCAATTGAGGTAATACAGTTCTAAAGTTTTTAAAGTGAAAGCCAGCCCACCCCTCTCCTGGAGTGGGCGGGGACAGCGGTTGCAGGGACAGCTTTCCTTGTGACACCACAGGTCCTTCATGACACGCCTTCTTTCTCTTTCATCTTTCTCATTGACCAATGGGCTTGAAGCATTAAGGCCATGCCCCTATTCTGCATTCTAGTGCAGCCTTGGTTACACCTCCTCTGGCTCAGTCACACAGCTACCTGGTAGGTGACTGGAGGTGTATAGTTGTCCTCTCCTAGATCGTGCTGATGTGGCCCCAACCCCACCTCCCTACCCATCCCATGATGTCCAAAGAAACCCGACAGAACAAATTGGCCGAGGCCAAGCAAAAGGTAAAACGCGCCAGGTTGCAGCACCCCAACCCAGCCCCAGGTCCCCTCTGACAGTCGAACTGCTGCCAGAGTCTGTGTCACTCCTGAGGCACACTGGGCTGGGTGCTCCCAAGTGCCTCTGGGTTCCCCACACCAAAATCTTGTGAGCCAGCCCACTTCCCTCATGAGTCCTTCCCCTGCCCTCGCCAGTCACCCCAGGGCGATTTTGAGCTGGTGACTCCTGGGGCTTCCCTCTCCATACTCTGCCCTTACCTTCTGCTACCCCAAACCCAACCTCCATGGGCTCTTTGGGCTCACGTCTCCAAAGACCTGGGTGCCCCAGAACCTGCCCTCATCAGTTGCCCCAGGGTGACTTTGGGCATGTGACTCCTTGGGCTCCCTGCTCCACATTCGGCCCTCACCTCCCACCGCCTCAAGCCTGACCTCCCTGGGCTCTTTGGGCTCCTGTCTCCAAGTACCTGGGTCCCAATCCAGCAACCCCCTCCCCAATCTCAAAGCGACAACTTGGGCATTGCTCTCATGTGTCCCCCACACCACTCCACCGAGGAGTGGAATGTAGTGATTTCACAGTCCCCCTAGGAACTATCATTATGGCCACGAGACCGGCCTTTGGTCTTAGGACCTGGTCCCCTAAGTATTCTTGCCCATTTCTGGTTCCTCTGGTTGCAGCACAGGTTTCCAGCTGGACGGGGAATGGGGACCATGGGACCTAGGGGAGAGAGGTTTCAGGCTGCCTCTGTAGCTAGCTAACCTAGTGGGGACTTGGAGAACTTTTCAGTGTAGGGGGTGTGCTGGGAGGTGGGGGTACAGGTGAGCATGGTGAGAGGCTTATACAGGTTTTCATGTGTGCACAGGGAAGCTCTAGTGCCGGCTGTGCCATTGACTCATGGGGTAGCCTCAGGCAACTCATGTTTTGTCTCTGGCCTGCCACCTGGGACTTTTAATTCTTGGGGTCCCATCCAATGCCACGGTTCTGTGGTTGTGGGGTGAAAGTAGAGGGTTGATCACCAAAGCAGTCCTTTCTGTTCTTCGTTCATTCCTTTCTCTACTGCCTCTGGTCGTAGCATAACCGATGATGAGCTGAAGGAGAAAAATGCCGAACTACAAGAAAAACTTCGACTTGTAGAATCTGAGAAGTCTGAGATCCAGCTCAACGTAAAGGAGCTAAAAAGGAAGCTGGAGAAGGCCAAGCTCCTGCTGCCACAGGCAAGCAGCTACAGCCCCGGGGGTTGTGGGATCCCCGTCCGGCTGGGACCATGGTCTAGGGATCATGCAGGGTATGGGGAGGTTCCAGCCAAGAGCTGGAAAATTTGGGCCCTTGTTCTGGTCCCACCATAGAATCCTCTAGAGTGTGCTAAAAATCTACAAAGTGGGGCCCTGCCTGGGGAATCAGAATCTCAGAGTTAGGGCTTAAAAATATGTATTTGAAAGGATCATGGGTGAAAACCATTGTTTGATAGATTACATTTATATGACTATCTCATGAGTCTGTTTCCTTCTGAGGTTCAAACCAACACTTTCACTGTTCCAGCAGCAGCTGCAGGAGGACGCTGACCACCTGGGTAAGGAGCTGCAGAGTGTGTCCGCGAAGCTCCAAGCCCAGGTGGAAGAGAACCAGTTGTGGAACCGCCTGTACCAGCAACAGGAGGTGAAGATGCGGAGGCAGGAGGAGAAGATAAGGGAGCAGGAGGAGAAGATACGGGAGCAGGAGGAGAAGATAAGGGAGCAGGAGGAGAAGATACAGGAGCAGGAGGAGAAGAGGCAGGAGCAGGAGGAGAAGATGTGGAAGCAGGAGGAGAAGATACAGGAGCGGGTGAAGAAGATGCACGAGCAGGAGGAGAAGATGTGGAGGCAGGAGGAAATGATGCACGAGCAGGAGGAGAAGAGGCGGGAGCAGAAGGAGAAGATGTGGAGGCAGGAGGAGAAGATACGGGAGCAGGAGAAGAAGATACGGGAGCAGGAGGAGAAGATACGGGAGCACGAGGAGAAGATGTGGAGGCAGGAGGGGAAGATGCGGGAGCAGGAGGAGAAGATGTGGAGGCAGGAGGAGAAGCTGCGGGACCAGGAGGAGAAGATGTGGAGGCAGGAGGTGAAGCTACGGGAGCAGGAAGGGAAGATGTGGGAGCAGGAGGAGAAGATGTGGGAGCAGGAGGAGAAGATGTGGGAGCAGGAGGAGAAGATGTGGGAGCAGGAGGAGAAGATGCAAGAACAGGAAGAGAAGATGCGGAGGCAGGAGGAGAAGATGCGGGAGAAGGAGGAGAAGATGTGGAGGCAGGAGGAGAAGATGCGGGAGCAGGAGTCGAGGCTGTGGCAGCAGGAGGAGAAGATGCAGAAGCAGGAGGTGAGGCTGCAGGAGCTGGAGGAGAGGCTGGGGGAGCTGGGGTGGAAGGCGAGCTGTGGGGGGAGCAGGCGGAGGTGGGTGCAAACCCTGGAGATCATACAGAACGACCTCACCGCAACTTAGCAGATGGTGGTTGGCTCCCTCTGCTTTTCCACCAGTCTGTGGCCTACAGTTTAAATGGCGGGAAGAAGGGTGTGAGATTTGAGGCTGGGGAGGGAGGCATGGGCCTCTAGGCAAGGGAGGCAGTCACTTAGGCCTGGGGGAAGGGGCTAGGTGTCAGGGGCCTGGGCAGATAACAGAGCCCCACTGTGCCCTCGCCACCCTGTTTATGGGCCCAGAATCTGGAAGCCAGCCACTGCCTACCCTGACGCCTATCCTGCAGGTGGAGCTGAAGAGCCAAGAGGCTCAGAGTCTGCAGCAGCAGCGAGACCATTCCCTGGGTCTCCTGCAGCAGTACGTGGCCGCCTATCAGCAGCTGGCCTCTGAGAAGGAGGCTCTGCCCAGCTGCAGCAGCAGGAAGCTCAGGGCAAAGCGGTGGCCGAGGTGGCCCCCCAATAGTTGCAGGAGACCCAGTTGAAGGAGTTGATGGGAGTGGGGCCCCGAGGGGGACGGCCTGGCAGCCTCCGTGCCTTCTCACTCTCTTTTCTGGCCCCTTAGGAGCACCTGGAAGCTGCCATCTACCGAGCACATGACAAGAAGGCAAAAACAATAAACATGTAAAAGCCGGCAGCAAGGCCTGGAGAAGAGTCAGCTGCCATGTGACTGTTTAGAATATAGTCTGAGCCCAAACCTGAAAAAAAAAAAAAAAGAAAATTTATTTTAAATTGTGGCAAAATACTGGTCAGGCACAGTGGTTCATGCCTGTAATCCCAGCAATTTGGGAGACTGAGGTGAATGGACCACCTGAGGTCGGGAGTTCATGACCAGCCTGGCCAATACAAAAATTAGCCGGGCATGGTGGCGCATGCCTGTAATCACAGCCACTTGGAAGGCTGAGGCAGGAGGATCGCTCAGACCTGAGGGCAGAGGTTGCAGTGAGCTGAGATTGTGCCACTGCACTCAAGCCTGGGTGACAGAGCGAGACTCCGTCTCAAAAAAAAAAAAATTCTTCCTTACCTGTGTGTTTCTACTTTTTTTAAATCTTGTTCTTTCTCATTTAGTCTTGTCTTGTCTTACGGCATTGCTAGTAAACTTTTATCTGCCTCCAGAGAGTATTGACTTTGACTTTATGGCACACAATTGGAGTAAGCGCAGATCAACTTCATCTAGTTTGGGACTAAGCTGGTTCAAAGCAGGTTTTAGTTTTTGTGAGGGCTGGTCTATTTTTTATTCATTTGGACTCCCAGGGGTGGCCTTTCCAGGTTCCCCATCAAGGTCCCATCTCCTTACTGGGACCCAAATTCTTATGAGGTCATTTCAGCCCTATGAGTGCCAAACATTGAGCTAGGCTCTCCAGCCTCTTAACCACCACTTCAGACTCAGTTTCTTAACCTCTTAGCCCTCTACTGTTCACCAATCACCAAATGTCGGAAAAGTAGTACAGACTATCAGGGTCACCTCCTAGGCCTGGTCACTCAAGTCCTGACTGAGGTCTCCAATTACCTTCAAACAGTTGTTTTTGGTGGTGGGGGCACATTTTTGTGCAGTTTCTCTAACTGCTTTTGTGGGGAGGCTAATCTATAACAAGCTACTCTGCCTTTAGTGAAAGTTGAAAACCTTCATCTGTCTTTTTCTTTTGAGATGGAGTCTCGCTCTGTTGCCCAGGCTCCAGTACAGTGGCGTGATCTCTGCTCACTGTAACCTCCGCCTACTGGGTTCAAGCAATTCTCCTGCCTCAGCCTCCCGAGTAGCTGGGACTACAAGCCTGTGTCCCCATGCCTGGCTAATTTTTGTATTTTTAATAGAGACAGGATTTCACCATGTTTTCCAGGCTGGTTTCGAGCTCCTGACTCAGGTGATCTACCCGCCTCGGCCTCCCAAAGTGCTGGGATTACAGGCATGAGCAACTGCGTCCGGCCCATCTGTCTTTTAAAAAATGTTTTTAATTTGAGGTATAATTTATCTTCAGTGAAATGCACAGATCTGGTGTATATTTTGATCAATTTTAATAAATGCATTACCCATGTATCCCACCTCCTTTGAAGATATAGAACATTCCTATCATCCAGAAAGTTCTCCTGTGCTTTAACCCTGTCCGGCACTCCCCC